CTTTTTCATTTCAAGTTTGCATTGATTATTGGTGGGAATGTTATTCCTTAAATTATTGATCATCATAGATACTTTGCCTTAACTTGAACACAGAAATTGCATCAACATAAAGCATACATTATTTTGATGAAACTATGCATACTACAAATATTACTATGTATAGTTCCTCTTGACTTATTTAAATCAATAGATCTGAAATCAATCTGCATAATCCCAATTTTTCAAATACTGTTTGAAAATAGGAACACATACATTACAGGGACTTTTTCTGACCAGCTTTATGAAATTGTCCTCACATTCCCCTTTGTAAAAATATGCTCCAGCAACTACATGATGTCATATAATCACATAGTACCAGACCAGCACTTCCCATGTCAACAACAGATTTTACACAGGATCCCAATGTATAATATTTTAGTGTTCTTTTCAAAGGAAGCTCTTTTTTTTTTTTTTTTTTTGCAAATGTCTTATTTTTGCTGTCCTTTTTCTGGTCCTATTGCACAGAAGGTTGATTTAAACTAGAAAGGAAACCTAGATCCTGCCAGCTGTGTGCTACTGATTTTGTCATCAAGAAATGCATTTGAGGTTGCCTACTCATCAGCTATCTCTGAGTGATGTCGACCATGGCCATTTGCCATAGCACTTGCATGCTCTTACAACAATAGCTGAGGATGGAGCTTGGCCATTATTGATTGCTCCTTCCTGCTTCACCCCATGCCCTAGTTCCACACCTGTTAATCCCATGGACAGGTCAAAAACATGGAGTGACCGCTGCAGGTTGAATGGGAAAGCAATCTTGGTAATCTTTCTCTGTATTGGTAACTCAAAATTCCAGATTGAATTTAGACTCAGGTTTAGCCCCTTTTTTAGAGGACTCCTAGGCTCTCTACAACAATAGTCTAAGGGATGAGCAATCTGATGAGTGGCTAAACCAGTTATTGAAAGCTTCTATCTATATTACCCCAGTCATCTCAACTCCACATTATGGAGATATATTAATAGCTTGTTTTCCCCACTAGTAGAGTTGGTCTATCTGTGGGAGTATGAAACCAGAAAGAGCCACCCAACACTTTCCGTAACTTGTCTGCCAATGGTAATTGCAGGAAAACTAGAAACCTTTCCAAGTGTGCAGCATCACTTCTGCCAATAGAAGGGATGAAACCCATTCCTTTTTGATGGGCTGTGCCAGTTCCATCATAGCTTTCCAACTTCCCTGCAGCTGAGCAGGAACACAGACTGTAGTCCCAATACATCTAACAGATTTAAAGCTGTGAGAGATTGGTCTGTATCAATTATTATGAAAATGGGCTGTAAAAAAAAACCTCTCAAAGCTATACATGTAAGGAGTTTTTACTTTAATGGAAAAAGCCACCATTAAATGGTTCATGACTTCACAAGCTAATAGGTTTGTGGTGATGGAGCATCGTAAGAACAGCAAATAAAGGCTCTTTACCCAAATCTCCATGGAGATGCATAAACTTTACAGAGCAGAGCCCAATATTCCTTGCATACAGATTTTGGTTTTGAAGGGTTTCTTCCCTCCTTCTGATTGATTAGCAGGTATCATTAGATACATGAATTGCTTCATCTAATCAGATGATAAAAGATTACTCATGTGATGAGCTTATAATTTGAACGCACTCTGAGCAACAGCGAATGCTAATTAAATTTTAGACTTTAATAGGTAAAGGCTATCAGAGGAAAGTATTGTATGCAATTTTGAATCTAGGAAAAACACCCACCTAAGATCCTTTATAAACTATATATTTAATGGGGTGGTATCAATTAAGGTACAGTCACCTCCATCCACATATAATGCAACTACCAGGAAAGTTTTATTTTTAGGCAGAACTTGTGTTTTCTATTATGATGCCACTTTTGTGCCACACTAACAGTTAAACCAGGGGCGTCAAACTGGCAGCCCATGGGCCAGATGTGTCACACCCAGGCCACGCCCACCCCAGTTTTGCATTTGCAGTTCTGCAAATGCAAAAAAGTCACAATACGTTACTTGACATCAACGTGACCCAGCGAGTTTGACACCTGTCAGTTAAACAGTTAACCTAGTTTAAATTATAGTAAGAATATTGATTATCCAGGCCATTTGATATAATTGCAAAAAAAAANAGAGATATTGGAACACTGCTATTATGTCTCCCTTAGTCCTTCTTTTCATTAAACTAGACATACCCAGTTCCTGCAACCGTTCTTCATATGTTTTAACCTCTAGTTCCTTAAAGTTTTGTAAGGAAATCTTACTATGACACAATCACTCACTTGGTGTTGATTTAAACAGGAATGACTATTTCAAGCATATCTAGTATACTAACACTTTTATTCATGAAATTATTTCATATGAGTATGTATATGGGTATGTATGGGTGTATATATGAAACCATACATTTTGTATATTATGGGTCAAATAATGTACAGGTAGTTCTTGGCTAATGATCCAACTGAGCTCCCAAATTTATGTTGCTAGTGAGGCATTTGTTAAGTCAGCCTTGCCTCATTTTATGACTGTTCTTGTCTCAGTTGTTAAGTGAATTGTTGCAATTGTTAAGTTAGTAACCCAGTTGTTAAATGAATCTGGCTTCCCCATTGATTTTGCTGACCAGACGGTTGCAGAAGGGGATCACATGATCCCCAAACCCTGCAACCATTCATAAATATAAACCAGTTGCTAAGCATCTGAATCCACGTAACCATGGTGATACTGCAATGATCATATGTGTGAAAAATAGTCATAAGTCACTTTTTTTCAGTGCTTTTGTAACTTTGAACAGCCACTAAATGAACTGTTGTAAATCGAGGACTATCTGTACATTTAGTGGGATTATGGTTGAAAGAACTGACAGCTAGTTGATTGATTATTGTAATCTCCATTGTCTAAGATGATCAAGAGAAATTCATACCTATCTGAATAGGAAGATTCCTGATTTAAATATATTTAAATCTACGCTAAAAGCAATGATTTTAGTACGCCACTTACAGATTTGTTAAACCAGAGCATTTGAATTTAATCTGATTTGCTGATTCACAGTTTGGTTAAGCTGAAGCATTTCGATATAAGCTGATTTAATATAAATTGATTCTACAGGACTAAACCGCTTTAAATTTCAACAATTTAGCTTAACCGGGCTAAGGATAATCACCTTACTGTCAATGGAGAAAAATACATTTAATTCTGATTATCAATGTATGCACTGGGCTTTCCTCAATAGCAATATGTAGGTTGACTTTGCATGCAGAGAAAGCAAGAGAAATTACAAATTGCATTGCAGTGACTGAGGTTTCATAGCATTCTGGGAATTGCAATTTACCTAAAGAAAGGGTATTGGATTGAATTATGCTCTTTCTATAATGCTAAACTGTAAAGACATCTACTTTGAAAAAAGAAGTGATGAACTTGGTTTTGGTCACCACGATGTAAAAAAGATGTTGAGACTCTAGAAAGAGTGCAGAGAAGAGCAACAAAGATAATTAGGGGACTGGAGACTAAAACATATGAAGAACGGTTGCAGGAACTGGGTATGTCTAGTTTCATGACAAGAAGGACTAGGGGAGACATGATAGCAGTGTTCCAGTATTTGAGGGGCTGCCATAGAGAGGAGGGGGTCAAGCTATTTT